GTTCCCAAAATTTGCAAATGGCTCCATACAAATAAATTAGCTCTGAACACGGATAAAACTTCTTTCCAGATATACAGCAATCAGAAAGATAAAGCCACCATTAATATCCAAATGAATGGAATTACAATTAAAGAAACACAAACAGTGAAATACCTTGGTGTATTAATCGATAATGACCTCAAATGGAAAAGTCACATCAATTGCACTTCAAACATCATAAGCCGGAATATTGGTATAATTGGTCGCTCCAGGCATTTTCTAAACAGAAAGCATAGACTTTTTTATATAACGCTTTGGTTCTACCATACCTAAACTACTGCTGTCTCCTTTGGGGTTACTCATCAAAAACGCATATGCTTAAACTAGTCACCCTTCAAAAAAAGATTATCAGAATTATTGATGACCAGCCCAGGCTGGCTCACAGTAGTCCAATTTTTGCCAAACTAAAGCTACTCAAACTAGAAGACATTGCCCAACAGCAAACCATATCACTCATGTATAATATATCCATCTGAGATCACCATTACCCATCATTTCCCTCTTCCAGCCAGCCCAACCCGGTAATAGAGAAAGCAGAAACACAAAACATTTTATGGAGCCATTTACAAGCAAATTATACCGCACCCAGACGTTAGCCTGGATTGGTCCACGAATTTGGAACTCAATGATTGCAACGCATTTCCCATCCATTAGAGCTGAACCTGTATCAAAAAGAACAATAAAAGAAACATCGAAGCAGCTTATGATAGCTGAATACTAACTCCATAGCAATTATAGGTCTATTGGGATGTGGACAGGATGCTGTGAACGACTTACGAAGGAATGAATGCACGCATACAGGGTAACCGCGTAAGCTAATTAACGTAAAAGCGGGCTCCGCCGGCCTGTGGCGGAGCCCTGCGTTGCCGAGCATTGGGCCCCCCCCCTATAACCCATCCGGGCCAACCTGGGTACCGGTCCCACTTGAAAGGGACCGGTCGGCCGTCCGGGCGGGCGGGGCGCCGGCCTGTCGGGTCGGGTCGGCGCTCCCTCGCCCGGGCGGTGGTTAGGGGGCACCCTCGGGAAAGATGTTTTTCCGGGGGTGCGGGCGGGGGCTCGCGGCCCGCCTGGCCGTCAAACATTAAAACTTACTGTAGGATAGTAGTTCTCTTGCCCGTCTCTCCTTCCCAACTGTATTCCTTTCCGTCTTTTTTCCTCTCTCGTTGATGTTACCTCTCATTTTCGTTATATTGCATTATTTTCTACCCAGCCACCTCGGAACTGGCCTCTGTGGGCTGTCTGACGACAAGCTCTGCTTAGTTGGACAGCTTTACGGAGGCTCAGTGAATGACCTTGCTTGAATTTGACCAGAAATGTTACCTACGACCATCCACCATGTATGTATGAGTGCTCCCTCTAATCCCTTCCTCCCACTAACAATACCCTGTGTAAGTGTGCATCAGTGGGTGTTCCTGGCGTAGAAGGGCAGTCACCAACTGTTTTCAGTTGTGACTACTTTGCTTCTCTTAAGCTACTATATTAACAGCATGCATTCTCCACTGATATTACTCTCGTTTTTTGCTTTTTTTTGTTTTTTCCTTACTCTTAGCTGGGAGTGCTTTAAAAAAAAAAAATCTTCATGTAACAGCCTTCACTCGGCAGATTTTGTTGCGGAGATCCTGAACTTTCTCCTCAAACCAGGATATTACGTATAGACGGTAAGATTTAGAGTCCAATGTCTACATAGCCGATGACGGTCCCCAACCGAACTGTTCAATGATCACCGCCAACTGACATTTACTGCGCCGTTTTCAACAGAAACGAATCGCGAGCGCCGAGCCGGCTCAAGTCTGACTCTGGAATCAGCTCGCGAATCGGGCATTCTCCTCACAGAAGTAATGGGGCAGGCTTTTTCAGAAACATTCCTAAAAGGTCACGCACGTTTCCATTCCACTCATACAAGGCTCAAAATCTGGAAGTGGGCGGGTTAACCCTCGCCGGACCTATTGGTTTTCTACATACGCGCCGGCCGAGGGGGGGGTACGACCCCCCCCCTCGCCGTTTCGCCCCTGGTGGAGCTAGCGCGTCGCGGAAAAAACGAGCGTGTGCGCCGTTACGAGACGCAGAGATTGGTACCCGATTTTAAGGTCCTAGGTCAACCGGTGACCTCTGAGGTCAGGTCAAGTGCCCCAAGGTACGGTTCAGTTTTTTGGTGAATAACTTCGCAAAAAACGGCCGCAGAGCGCCGATTTTGGCAGCATCGTGTTCGCCTCGCTCAGGCGCGTCGAATGATATACTTTTTGTCCGGGTCAGGTCAACTTGGGGTGTTGACCTCAGGTCAAGGTCAGGTCAGCACCCCCAGGTCACGAAGTTGGTCGAAAGAGGTCATGTCGCATATCATTCGATTCGGCAGGTCTTCCTGAGTCCATTGGTGGCTTTCCCGACTCGCTAGCTCAATTTGATCAAGAGTTATTGACGAAAAACTAATATGACCTTGATGACGTCATAAATGACGTCACGCAAGGTCAACATTGCAAAAGTGACGCATCTAACCTTGCAAGGAGTGCATCAAATCACGATTCTGTGTGCTTGAGATAGTTGGAGATCGTTCCCGGCGCCAGAATAGCAGTTTTCATTTTTCCCCATTGACCTATAATGGTGAGGTCACGAAAATGACCTGACCTCATATGACCTTTAGGAAAAATCCGAGAGATACAAGTTGTGAGACTCATAATGGATACTAGATCCTGCAAGTTTCATTTCCCTGTGACATCTCCTCTGGCAGTGAGGGCGTTGCGAAGTTGCGACATCTGAAGACCGTGCAGAGGTTCACTTATGACGTCATAGGTCAGTGACCTGACCTGACCCAAAAATGCGGTTGGTGTCAAAAGATGCGGCTTGGATCAAAGGTCAGGTATTCCAAGTTTCAGCTTTCTATCGCCAGCGTGTTCGGAGCTATCGCGAAAAAACCCTATGGGGGGGCGGCACCCGCCCCCCCCCCTCGGCCGGCGAGGGTTAAACTACATAACCGTCATCTGCCATGTCTTGTCAGTGTTTCTGTCTGCCATGTTTGTCAGTGAAAACGTTGAACATTCTCCTGCCAGTGTAATTTGTCCGTTTGATGAGGGCGCCGTTCCACAGATGGTATCTCGGTGCGTTCTCTGTTTCTCGACGTCCGGCGCCGAAAACGACCATCAATCACAGCATTTCACAACGGCGCATAAGCGCGCCCCATGACATTGGCGAGATGAATGCTGGTGGGCGAGCCATCCGCCGGCGGATACAGACGGATGTGGGCGGAAGGGATAGGGAAGGGATATAGCAAGGGATAGATACTATCTATCCCTTGCTATCCTATCCTATCCTATCTATTAGATAGGATAAGGATAGTCGATATATCGCCATCCACTTATCATTTGACAATATTCTGCATCAGCTGACATAAACTGGTCAATCTTAAATTTGAACCGAGGCTCTAAAACAACTTATGGACGAAATATTTGAAGAAAACGTGGCAGAATCGTTCCAGACAACGTATGAAGCTGGACAGCTTCTTTGCACTCAGTGAATACCATAGTTATCGAGTCAAAAGAACTTCATACTCTTATTATGAAAGGTCTGTGATCATTTGCAGATTAATTAGATACTCGCAGAAGCGAAGCAACAAAGCGATTTCAATAGGCATCATCAACAAATTTCGATGAATTTAATCACCATGTAATTAACACAGGTAGCTCAAACATTCGCCAAACATGCATTATCTCATCAATGTGGAAACACGACTGTACAGAATAGCATTACGATAATTTGCAAGTCAATTACGCCACCCGTCGCCTTCCAACGTCTTATCCATCGCACGGACACCTCTGTAAGCACACACAGCGATTGAAGCGTCGCTAACTCCCTTGTAAGCGCCACTGGGCCCCGCTGTAAGCCGTGTGCGGCCTCCAGTGCGGCCGCTCCGGCGCTATAATTAGTTAGTTGATCGGTCGGTGTATTTTCGGCAGAGTGCACCGTCCGCGACAGAGCCAACACCTGCTTCCTGTCAGTCACAGTCGTCCGAGCGTCCTCGAGGAGCGGAGAAAGTCTTACCGATGACCAATGTCAGACCTGGCCACAGCGATAGGTACTGAGAACATTGCATCGCGAGTTATGATGACGGATTGCGTGCGGTAAGCCTGATGAACAGCCGAATAAAAGAAAAACTGCAGTTTTGTTGCGGTAACGAGGTGCAATGAGCACTAGCGATTCGATTCGTGGGCTCATACAGGGTGTTTCATAATGAATGTCAATTTTAAACTGGGGAGTTCAAAAGAAAAAATGTGTCTAGCACGTGCAAACTTTCAAGCATTGTTGGAAATTGATGGACATTTTATAAATAGCATTCAATGCCATAGTTGTTGTCATTCTTTTTTCAGAACGGGATATGTCGGGTTCACCTCGCGGCTCGCCGTGCTCAAATGATTAATACGCCATTTTCGAAAGAACAGAAGGCGTGGATAGTGTTACAGCTCGGAAGCCTTAAGAACATCTCCAAATTTATGAGAAAGTTTCGGCTTCACTTTACAGTTAACCCTTCACTTTAAAGTTCACTTTAGACTTAGCAAGACTTCGTTGACTCCCCATGGACTGCGAAGAAGTGCTCCGGGCCGTGCGCCATATCCGTGGACGGGCCTGATAGTGCGTTGATCTTCACGGGGCTGTGGTGGAACCGTTTGTCTTGATAGAGAAAAGTGAACAGACAAAAATCAAATGTCCAAGTCTTCTGATGCATGTGAATCTAAAAATTATGCAAATATTTGTTTATATGTGTTGGCGCAGCGTATCCGGCGCCGATACTTCGGCTGACTGATCCTCGGAAGTGGAAGAACCAGCGGTTACAACGAACGAGTTTGTTTGTGTATTGTGGAACCAGCCGGCTCAGCTTTGGCTCAGCTGACCGTGTTATTCCGCAAAATGTCTTTGTTTGCTTGTTAGTTTTAGTTATGTGTTATTTTGAAGATTTTGTCAACGGCTAAATTAATAATTATAGTGGACAGGGCAGAACCTCGGTGAGTAATTTCATATACTTGCCTATCTACTACTGTTACGTTCCATATCCTCGGCGTTACGTTCCATATCCTCAGTAATTGTCAGTATTTGTGTCAGAATTTGTTATGACGAATGCTTGTTTACTTTTGTGTTTTGCTTTGTTTCAGAAACCACTTTTACACTCTCACTCGATCATGTTCAGTTCAAATATATCGTCAAGTTCATTTCAAATAAATCACAAGTGATGAGTCGGTGCGTTTAGAGATCTGACCGTCTAAGAATTGGAAGAACAGAAAGGTAGCCGGCGACAACAGTTTCGAGGTTTCACCTACATTGAGGTATGGACAAAATGGAGACATTATACAAACTCACTGTTCATGAGCTAAAAAACGAGCTGTCAAGAAGGGGCAGAGCCTGCAAGGGTATTAAGAAAGACGTTTTAGTGAGTCGTTTGAAAGATGTTTTGGAATCGGGAGGCACTACCGTGGCTGATTTTCTCACTGAGTTCAATGCATCAAAAGCTGCTGATCTTGCTGAATTTACCCGTGGCCTCACTAGTAGATCTAGAGACAATTTAGGATTTAATACTGTAGCTCCAGAGAAAGACTGTGCTCCTGATAAGCCCTGCAAGGATGCTGGTATAAATGTCAATGACAGTCAGGAGGCTGCTGAGGCTCAGTGGTTTGACACCAGAGATGACAACCACAAACGAGCTGCGTCTGAGGTAGCCAGCTCTATTGTGTCAATCGGGTCTACCTCATCGAGGCACTCCTCTTGTTCGCGCGCTTCTGTGTCGTCACTGAGGGCAAGGGAGCAGGCGAGGAAGGCAGGTCTCCGGGCAAGGATCGACATGCTAAAGGAGAAGCAGAAGTTGGAGGAGCAAGCAGTGGCGCAAGCAGTGGCAATGAAAATGAAGAAGGAAGAATTTAAGCTACGCATGGAAATCGCAGAGGCTGAAGCAAGGGAGCAGGTCTTTGCCGAAGAAGAAACGTCGGTCGATGCAAGAACAAGTCAACCACATCTGGTAAGATCTGCATCACTCATAAGCCATGCAGCATATGACAACGAACATGAAGAGAGTACAGCCATAGTGCATGCAAGGAAGAAGCTAGAAGGTGGTATGTAGAAGAAGAAGAGGCCAGAGAAAACAATTCTCCCAAGAATGATGACAGGGAAGGAGACACGCTGAAGGAAGCTGGAGAAGAAAGAAGCATGGATCAACGACAGGTGAGCAGTGAGACGTACCGTCGACACCACACAGGCACTCCTGACCCACCTCCAGAGAGGACAGTTACCGAATGTCGAAATTCCAGTGTTTAGCGGAGAGATAACAAAATACCGATCCTTCATCCGGGCCTTTGAAAGTCGCATTTTGTCGAAAACCGAAGATGACGAGGAGAAGCTGTTTTTCCTTGACCAGTACACCCGAGGAAAACCACGAGACGTTATAAGAGGCTGTTTGCACATGTCACCTGGTGCAGGATATCGGGAAGCTAGACGGCTGCTAGAGCAGAGGTATGGAGACGACGACTCTATCACGAATGCATTCGTCGACATGCTCATGGAGTGGCCCCTGGTGAAGCCTGGGGACGTAGAGAGCTTGGATAGATTCGCATTGACGCTCAGGTCCTGCCATAACGCAATGGGTGGAATCACATCAGAAGGGAGGGAAACCGACCACCCGAAGACGATGCGGAGAATACTTGGGAAACTTCCGTATCAGCTGCAAGACCAGTGGCGCCGTTTGGCTGACAGGATTCAAGAGGAAGAGAGGAGAAAGGCTAGGTTTGAAGACATCGTCAACTTCGTGGAAAAGGAAGTAAGAATACAAACCAATCCAATGTTTGGACGTCAACACAACAGCAAGAGCGGTGAGCTTGACGGTTCACGGAAGAACGTTCAAACCGTGTCGGCGACAGTCGTCGGAGCAGATTCTGGACGTCATCAGACCTCGCGAGTGTGCTTGTTCTGCTCCAGAGACCATTGGCTAGACCAGTGTGATGACCTTAGAACTTTGGCGCCTCATGAGAAGAACAAATTCATCAGAGAGAAGGGTCTTTGTTATGGGTGCTTGGGCAAGGGCCACCTGGTTAAGGAATGCGCAAAAAGAAGAACATGCACGATCTGCAAGATGCGGCATCCTACAGTGATGCACAACAGATCACCGTCATTGCCTGGTGCAAGCAATGATAATGACAACCACGAGGGGGACATCAGTCGGGACAACTCCAGTGCCAGCCAGTTGGTAACAAACGGCAGGGTAAAGCTAGACAGCGCTTTAAGGGCTAGCGCTGAGTCAACATCCACAATGATGGCAGTACTACCGGTAAAACTGCTCTGTTCGGATCACAGCAGTTCTGTGGAGACTTACGCATTTTTTGACAATGGAAGTTCGGCAACCTTCTGTTCGGAGTCTCTATTGAAGAAACTGAAAGCCGAGAGTAAAGAGATCAGGCTGTCGATGACTACTGCGTCCGTCGATAATCAGCAGCTAAACAGCCGTGTGGTCAGGGGCCTTGCGATTTCGGACATGAATGGCGATATCTGCATTCAGCTGCCTCCGACATACACCCTCAAATCCATTCCCGTGAAGTCAGGAGACATGGCATCGAACGACGAGCTGAAGCAGTGGACTTACCTGCAGGACATCCAGCTGACAAGAATCGACGCTGAGGTTGGCCTGTTGATTGGTAGCAACTGTCCTGAAGTGCTCCAGCCCCTGGAGGTGAGGCGTAGTGAAAATGGTGGACCATTTGCTGTTCGTACTGCGCTTGGATGGGTCATCCAGGGTCCAAGGCGAGGCTACCAAGCGGAGGCCGAGGGAGTGAAAGTAAACCGCATTCAAGCCGCTAGGGAAAATTCAGATCTGCATCGTAGCTTCATCGATCTTTACAATCAGGACTTTAGAGATCATGACAGCTCTGTAGAGGTGGGTCTGTCCAGGGAAGACCAGTTGTGGCTGAAAGAGGTGGAGAACGGAGTGCGGCACGTGAACGGACGCTATGAAATTCCACTTCCACTTCGGAATGCAGGTGCCTTTCCCAGCAATAAACAACAAGCGGAGCGTCGTGCAGAGGGTCTGAGGAAGCGGATGCTGCAGAGCGAGAAATATCTGACTGACTACAAGAAGTTCGTGAATGAGCTGGTTGAAAGGGATTATGCAGAGAAGGTAGGGGTGCGCACTTGGGAAGAACGTGGTACATGCCGCACCATGGCGTCTATCATCCCATGAAGCCGCAGAAGATTAGAGTTGTATATGACTGTTCTGCGAGCTATAAGGGCGTGTCGCTGAACGACAGGCTTCTGCAAGGACCCAATTTGACAAGTTCGTTAGTTGGAGTACTCTTAAGATTTCGCCAAGAACCGTTTGCCCTCATGGGAGACGTGGAGAAGATGTTTTATCAAGTCCGTGTACCTGTCCAGGACAGGAGTCTGCTTCGATTCCTTTGGTGGGCTGAAGGGGATTTGTCTCAACAGCTGGAGGAATACCAGATGAACGTCCATCTGTTTGGAGCAACTTCATCACCATCATGCGCAAACTTCGCACTACGAAGAACAGCCCAGGACTTTGGTGATCTGTATCGACCTGATGTGGCAAGGTGCATAGAGAGGAATTTCTATGTAGATGATTTTCTGAAATCTGCCGCAACTGAAGACGAAGCAGCTGACATCGCGCTACAGGTTCGTGATTGTTGTGCCAGAGGAGGCTTCAATTTGACTGGGTTTGTAAGCAACAGTGAGAAGGTCACGTCGCGTCTCCCGCAGGCAGATTGTGCACTGACTCGCACAATGAGCCTCTCTTGTGGTACGCCATCTTCACAGAGGGCACTCGGAGTGCAATGGGACATCATCAATGACACCATGAGTTTTCGTGTCGAGATTGATCCAGGACCACCTACGAGAAGAGGAATCTTGTCTACCGTCAGCGCCGCCTATGATCCTTTGGGATTAGGTGCTCCATTCATTTTGCCAGCGAAGTTCATCCTCCAGGACCTGTGTCGTCTTAACTTGGGATGGGATGACAATATCCCTGAAGAGCATGCTGAGAGATGGACGCAATGGTGCAACGACCTGAAGGAGCTGAAACAGTTCAGTGTGAGCAGGAGTCTGTCACCTGCTGACTGCAAGGCGGTGAGTCGTCAGTTGCACCACTTTGCGGACGCCAGTGAGAGAGGATACGGCACTGTCAGTTACATCAGACTGGTGGACGAAGAGGGGAAGATTCGCACGTATTTGCTGATGAGCAAAGCAAGAGTGGCACCGTTAAAAGTATGCACTATCCCTCGGCTCGAACTCTCCGCAGCTGCCCTAGCCGTTCAGATGAACACCCTGTTGCTATCGGAACTCGAAGTACCGATGGACGCCGTCTTCTTCTGGACAGATAGCATCTCAACCCTCAGATATATACAGAATAAGACCTCGAGGTTTCAAACCTTCGTGGCGAACCGGCTCTCGATCATACATGCTGGCTCGAATCCCGATCAGTGGAAGTACGTGCCGTCATCTCTCAATCCTGCTGACGACGTGTCACGTGGTCTCACGGCGCGACAGTTCCTCGACTCCAAACGTTGGACTGATGGCCCTGAGTTCCTCAGCGGGCAGATACACGTCTGGCCTGATCAAACCAGCGCACTGCAATCAGTAGAAGGCGAAGAACCCGAAGAGATCAAGAAAGTGACGGTGAATGCTGCTCGTGTAGATGAAGACGATCCTACCTCACAGCTTCTGAACAGATTTTCAGATTGGCACAGGCTAAAAAAGGCAGTTGGATGGCTGCTTCGAATCAGAGCTACGCTTCTCATCCGAGCGAAAACGAGAAAGAAGTTAAATGATGGCACGGACGACGTGCAGAGCAAAAACGTTTCTGCGCGCCTCACTGTGCGCGACCTTCAGGACGCAGAATCTGCAATCATCAGATTCGTACAGCGACGGGTCTTCCCTGAGGAGTTGACCAGAACTCATGTGAAGAAAGGCAGCCCTCTGTATCGCCTTAGTCCACTCGTAGTCGATGGGACTCTGACCGTCGGAGGTCGTCTGAAGAACAGTGGGCTTTCAGATCTGGTGAAACATCCAAAGATTCTTCCCAAGCAAGGCCACGTCACAGACCTGATCATCCGTGACATGCACGAAAGAACTGGTCATCAGGGACGGGAACATGTTCTGGCGGCCTTGCGCTGCGAGTATTGGATTGTGAGCGGGAACACAGCTGTCCGCAGAGTTCTGTCCCAGTGTGTTGGGTGCCGGAAAC